ACTCTGAAAAATGCTCATTTTTGCACCCTGCAAGTTGCTTTTCTTGCTGAATTTCATTGCTGTTCAGTTTGCTGCGTGAAGCAATTAAATTATGTGAATAACTTAAATTTCTGAAGGATGTGGTCACAGTAAACATAAATTAAGATTATTCCTATATTAAATACCATAACCATCACAATATTTTCATTCAAAACATTCTAACAAGAATGCATTGTAATATCAATATTACAATTGCTGATATGATATAGACTGACTGCCACAAATACGACCATGAATGCAAACATGCACCATTTGGATCAATTTATTCGTGAAATATGGAAGATGGACATGAACCAGGTAGGAGGGATTCTTCTTGTTCTTATTTTTCCTCTCTACTTTCCCAGAATTCAAAGGCAACAGAATTAAGTCTAAAATTACTTTTAAGTAATTTACGCTCAGATCGGATTACTGATACATACTAAAGTATGATCATCATTTAAAACCAAATGTTTCATCACATTTTGTTTAATTTTGTGCATTTATTTATTTATTGGTAAATATATGAGTTTCCAAAACTTTATTTTGCTCTATATACATAATGCAATGATAAATTAATTGAATCATTACATAATGTAATAATTGTAATAAATAACTGTTATTGCATAACAATTTTTGTTATTGTTACTTAACTGTTATATTTCATTGTATAATTTTCATTCTATTATTAAGACAATGAATTATGATATTATTAAAATTGACTATAAAAATTTTACAATAGTACCCTAATTTCGCACATATAGTCCACACACAACATTTTATATAAAAAAAATTTCAAAAATCGTCAGATAGTCCACACCACCGGATAGTCTGTGGACTATACGTCCGAAATTACGTTTTTTTAATACGGCAATATTCCCATGATTTTTAAACACATCCTTTGTTTGCGCCAATTTCTCACCGCTTTCTCGTCCACTTCATAACGGGGTAAAATCCTAGTATACGGTGCAGCCTTGGCGCGACTTCGAAAATTATCGCCAACACCAAAAATTATCCAAAGAATGTCTATATATATACTATACACACATAGTATATATACTATATACATAGTATATACTATGTTTAACTATATATTTTCTTTGAATGATCCGTTAACTACTCATCATAAAGTCGTCAAAAGTAGCCAAATCCCGTGTGCACCGAATACTAGGATTAAACCAATAACGGCCCGCTTCTCTATTTCCATCTTTTTCCCGGCGATGTTTCATCAACGTTATCGAAGATGAAAGACAAAATACTGTGCAACGTGCTATACTCGTGATAAGTGGTAATGAAATGTGACCTTCGACCCCACTCACTCGGTGTTGCCAAACCACGCTATAAGTAAACGAATCACGCTTTTTTTTTGTACTCCAGGTACTTGCTACTATGGCTCCTAAAAACCGAGCTGACGCATCAATTACTTTTCCCCCTCCCGGCAGTTGCGCTAAAGCAGTGCGAAGGATACTGGGATACAAGACTCTGGTTGCGCTAAGTGAGTCACAGCCGACTGTATCATGGCCTTGAAGCGAAATCAGTTTCGGAAGGTCACGTGATCGAAATAGTCGATCTCTTTCTCTTCACTATAATCCCGGAGTTCAACTTTGCTGCAAATAATAGTTTTGTCTTAAAATAAATATAAGTAAAATTAATAAACGTGAGTAGATCGCATGATTAACATTAAATTTTTTCACAGTGCAATATTGTTACAGGCGTTAAAAATGTATATCTTCAATAGCTTTTAAAACAATTTGTACTTTGTTTATATAACTAAAAATGTTACTGAGAATCACCACATGCAAACTTTATTTACGTAATTTTGATAAAAATGGAATCCATTTATATATGTTATCTGAATCAAATTTATTCCCAAAACAATATAAAATCCACATAAGGGGCGAATTCAATAGATTTTATGGATGTAAATTTTATTTAGATTTTCATACTAATAAAATAAATATTAAGGGCAGAATATTTTGTAAAACTCCATGTAAATTACCATCGCATCAGCTATATAAATTTTCAGAAGGCAAATACCCAAAGTCATCTCTCTTCACTCCATTCACTAATAAAAACTAGATATCTCAATTTTGTCAAAAAGGGGAAACGAATTAAAAATTCCTTAAATGCTAGCAAATTTGAGTATGAACTTACATGCAATGTTATACTATAAATAAATCTTTCAAGGAAATTTCAAAGAACTAAATGCTAATTACTTTCATAAAAAAGACAGCCATCTATTTGTACCAGCTCTAATTTTATGTTGAATCACTTTTTCCAAACCAACCAAGAAGTAAGTGATTAGTCTTGGTTTTTTTTTTAATTTCCCCAAATTACAGGCCTATTCCACTATTAAATAAATTCATAAAACTTGGAGCTGTAGCATATACATACATGCTACATATTATACATAATCTATGCAGAAAACAAAGCATAAAATAAAAAATTGTGATTTATTAACTGAAATTAATTGTTAAATTTTTTAACCTTTTTATATGAGCATTTTATATTAATTTTGTCATTTTATATTTTGTATAATTATTTAAAAAATTATCAAAGATATTTTCTAACCGAGTTTCTCATTTCACAAGTGCAAGAATCTGTTAAATTAAAGTTAATTCGACCTAAGTGTATGCAAGATAAATTATGTAAAATATCCATTTGCTTTCCTTACATAAGAAATTATCTTTCATGTTTTTAAGAATTTCACCAAATAAGAAATATACAATTGAAGATGTTAATAAAGTAACCTTAGATTGAAAAGTTTTAATTTACCCCTATCTAATTCTTTAAGAAAACCAAAAATATCATCTCTTGGATGAATACTTTGCAACCAGTCCTGCAAATATTGCATTTTATCACCCTTAATTTTTTCATGGCATCATAATCTGTAACCTAAACTAGCACTGTTAAAATATCAGTAGAAACATTTTCTATAAAGAAATCATTAATTAGTAAATTTGAATAATCATTAATATTCGCAAAAGTAAAAATAGAATCCTTATCATAATCTGGTAAAAGGGACTTTCATATTTGATGATGAAGTTATAATATTGTTTCTAAAATGAAGCTTCTTCTCACTTTCTAATAAGTGTAGGTCATTTATTTAATAATTTGAACCTGACATTTGCCGATAGATTCCAAAAAACGAGATTCCGTAACATCAGTTTGAAATTTTCCTAACAATATGTATTCAGCTTCATACTTTTGAAACAAATGTGGAATCAATTGAATGAATGCATTATGTAATTATTATTAATGCCTGAAATGTTTGTGGTGATAAAGTTTCTTTTATCGGGATAGACTGTCAAATATTCTATTAGAAAGAAATAATCAAATAAAGAATTCCTAATGTACTATACCAAACAAATATTCAAAACAATACTATGCAAAATGTTCAAACTAGAGTAAATGTATTCGATGTTATGTTAAAACGAAATACTTCAATACGATTGTAAACAGCTACAAATTTTCCCAAATAAATCTAAAAATTAAAAAGGTATAAAACGAAATATAAATAAAAATATTATTTACCTTAGTTTAAGTGATTTAAAATCACGTAGAATAGCAAAATTAACATCCAAAAAATCCACGAACACACACTACAACACATCTTCACAACCACACAGATCGACCATCTGGATCACGTGACTTTTGCGCTTCAAGGCCATTATAGAGTTGGCTGTGAAGTGAGTGCTCATACAAGACTTTCTTTGGCTCATATCCCAGCATCGCTTGATGCGCCAGCCTGGATTTTAGGAGCTCTACTTGCTACTACTCATTTGTTCTGCACTATGCTCCATGGTTTACTATCGATACGATACATACGAATGTTTTCTTGGAATCTCGCGCTTTTTTTTATATTTGATCATCGGCAGTTCATGACAGCGTGTTTTTTTTAATTTCAACGGTTTTAACCGTGAACAACCAGCGTATTATTCGCACTGGTGGATAGTCCGCAGCTTCAAAAATTCGCATTTTAAACACAGATAGTCCGTGGACTATACGCGCGAAATTACGGTAAATAATTATAATTAATAAATAGTATATATATTTTTTATCTTTGAACTTAAAAGTATGAACATTGTTGCGCAATGAAGAAAAAAAGAAATTTCTTAATAATTAGATACAATTATATTTCTTTTTCGATTTTTAAGATAAAATCTATACACATTATCATTGACATTGGCTGGGAAAAAAAGCATGAAATTTATTTTAGGAAAAATATGAAATATATTCTTGTAATACTGACAAATGTCAAGTTAAATCAATAACAATCTGGACATATTCCATTCAAATAAGGCGAAAATCTGCTGATCACCTTTTCCCTATACTACAAAAAGTATACTTCTGCTAAAAACTGTAGTTCCATGATTTTCAGACATTTTTTAAAATAAACAATTGAAACTGCACTGTTTATATAAAATTCATAAATTATGGGAAAAAAACTTCAACATGTTTTCTTTCTAGGTTCCAGGACAATACGAATCTTAATTTCTGCTCATATGAATCAAAGGTGTGAAAACCGTGTGATGACACGATCCTTCACGACACAGGGACTTTCCCTGCTTTCAGTAGTAAATTCCCCTATCTCCAGCGAAGAGAAGACCCTCATGTGACCCCTCGTCCTGCAGCATATAAGACCCCTTCCAAACGACTCTAAGCAGAATGCCAACCACAGTGGCATTTGTGATTGTTGAACTGTATCTTCATTTCTACTTCTCTGCATCTTCAATCTTGCTACCTCTTATTGCTCTTATTCTTGTCCACTGCAATTCCCTAGGCCTAACTCAAATCAGTCAATCTGCAGTCTGTGTCATCTGCTACAGCTGGCAATTTAACACCGTCACCACTGTCACCATCTTATACACACAAAAATATTTAAATTTTATATAATATGCTAAGGTACCAGTTCCTATGTTTATATTACATTGATATTTTTACAATAACTCAATCTTAGAAGAAAGTCTGCACCTTTAACTTACCAGTGGGCAATGATATATTGGCACCATCAATAATTGCCTGAGCAAGAGCATAATCATTGGTTTCTGCAGCATAAGCAGCAGCTTTTAAAGCATCCCATATTTCTTTCCTTCCTTCAAAAGCAGGTGCAGTATCCCAAAATTCATCCCGTTTGCTATGTAATTGGCCACCAGTCAAAGGCACATCACTTTTCCACTTTGGTTTTTCATGTTTCAGAGGTTGATTTTTTCCTATTGTAACTATAAGACAGAATATGGATAAAAATAAGTTTCAGCAAAATTTAAAAAATCTAAAATATTATAGAAAACCTCTACAAGCAATCAATTAATTTAGTTAACAAAATGCAATTTACATATGAATATACTAAACTTCACAAAATACGATTTGATTAGGTTACTTGATTATTGGTAAAGAATACATAGTCAAATGGTTTCAGAGGAAGGATGTTTTTATGAAAGAAAAATTGACTCGTATGTTGCTTCACATAAAAAATGAAATTAGTAACCTTAGTCAGCCTATCCATTTGCCACTTGAGCTGCTGTCTTACAACTAGTGTTTTGCCTCTCACAAAAGATGAGTACAGCTCTGCTCAAATTTGCGAAACAGCACTGGCAGTGGCTGTCACATAATTACCCCCCCTTTAGGCAGCCACAAAGCAAATCTGGCAATAAGTGTAATCAAATAATTTTTTGGTGCAACTGACATCACTGTTTATGCTTAGAATTAATTTGGTTTTAAAGAATAAGTTCGTAATAAAAATTCTAAGGACAAATTACATTAGTAATCTATCCATTTTCAATAGTGGCAGAGGTTATGGTTAGTCAACCAAAGTGCATACACACCTCCTGTCACTTGTCTGATTGTTAATGCCTCATTTTGAAGTTAAATAAATAAATGCACCTCATATTTTTTTGGAGAAAATTATTTTCCACACATTCTGTAACTGAATTTTTTTCTTTTGTTATTCACATGCAAAATTCTGAACTGAAATTTCTCATTTCTAATGCTTGTCTCTTCACAGCTCAACACAGATAAGAAAAGTATGCTAGTAAGAGAAGCAACAGGCATGCATTTCCCTTTACAGACCTATTATCACAGATATATTTATTATTTTTCAATATGCTTGACCTGTTTCATATATGCCTAGATTGCATCTTCATTTTCACATCAGTTTTTAAATTAGGCTAGGCCTAAAACAAAGAGATACTTCAATAAAATTTATGTTACTTCTTACCAAGGATAAAATGCCTGTGCACCGGTCTTCTTTCTATGTCACATCCCCTCTCAATTATTATTAAATATATATGTGTGTTTATGTGTAATATATTCTGTAGATAACTTAAGGTTCTCTATTGCAAATACAGAATGACAGAGCTGTGCAGATACATAAGATGCATAACAGTGAAGGAAAGACTCAGCAGACGTGGCCCTAGATTCAACACATAATTTTTATTCCTTTGACAACTCATTTCTAAGTATGTTTTATAGAGATTATGGCAAAGCACGCAACAGCTACCTGCCCAAGGAGAAAGATACGTTTGTCAAGAAAAACTGGCTCATTACACCTAGGGAAAACCACTAAAATGCCAATACAACTGGCCCATTCACCTGGAATGAAACCCAGGTCAGAACTACAAGTGTTCAGTGATTTTAACACTCGGTCACTGCTGGGCAACTTGTTTTTAAGGCACATATTCTTTTTTACACATCATCATTATGAGTGTGATATGCACCCCACAACAGCATCAAGTGCTTGCACAGCGAGAGGAAGGCAGGAAAGTAAGTGTACATTTTAGAACGGCGATATTTTTAGAGTTGGTTTCTTTGTTTAAATTTTGATCAGTGATAGGATAAGAAATGTTACATTGCAAAATTAATAAGATGCCATAAATGGGGTTTAATTTTGAGATGATGCACTTTAGATTCATATATCAGTTTTAGGACATGAAGGGGATGTAGTCAAATGAAATTAAAAATACCATGGCTAAATTAAAGTTAACAGTTTTCTTTCACATTTTAAATCTTTCACATATATATGGAGGATGAGCATTAGATTTTTTGCTGCCTGGTATAATCTCCCTCTTTTCTAAATTTTACAACTCTTCATGACCATACCAGTTGCAATAACTTTGATGCCAGCCTTGTACATATATATGTCAAAGCATGAAAGAAATGGTACAGATGAGCCTTTGCACATCACTGGTGGCATCCACCAGTACATATATAAAGGACAGACATTTATGAAAATTTCTAGAGCTGTTTCAGCCTGAGAGCAGCAAATTTTTAACAATTTTAGCAATTTTTAATAATGTCTAACAAAAAGAGCTCATGAGATACATATGGCATTCAGAAAGCAGATGCAAAGTCTGGGTTTTCCTTTCAACAGTGTACCACGATTGAAAGAATTCTGGCAAAACTTTGAACTTATAACAACGGCCAGAAGAAGACTTTAAATAAAAACAGCCAACAAGAATCATTTCACATGATGTGAATCAAATAAATACTTCCTAAAATAACACAGGAAATACAACTTTAGACCTCAAAAATATCAGGACAATTGGATTTTTTTAAAATTTATTAATGGGCTTTAGAAGCCAATATACAACCAGAATAAGCCTAATGAATTCAACATACAACTTGCCTCAGCTTCAGTAAATTAGGCTACTGGAAATGCTTATGTGGGAAAAATAAACAAATTTTATTCATCATGTTATATTAATTAACTACTAATAATGCCAGACAAATAACAGGATATACAACACTTATTCTGTTAGGAACTGGATGACTGATCTTGAATACAAATTAATCACACAAATTAATTAATAAAGTAAACAAAAAATAATATATATACATATCTTTAAAAGTAAATAAATTCATTTAAGATTCAGACATATTAAATCCAAAACCTGAAAACCAAGAGGAATATACCTTGTTTCCAAAATAATGTAATACCAATTCATTACCAAATTCTACAAGGGTTAAAAATACTACAACTTTAAATCACCACAAACTATATACAAAATAATTCCTAAAAATCTATAGATAGCTACAAATTTAATGCATTAATACACAACTTCACAAAACACCAGGGAAGAAGTATTAATACATAACTATCAGTCACATCTCTATAAAGTACAACTCAATAACTTTATAGTTTAATTATTTCATCAGCACACTCTAACAATAAAAATTTCTCAATAAATCATCTGAATAAGTAGTCAGTAATAAAAAAATAAGTAAAAACACTAGAGAATATATATATATATATACATGTAATAATTTTGATGCATAGCCATGTTAGCAGAGAGTGGCAGAAGAGATGAAGATGACGAAACTAGATTCCTACAAATCACCAATCTTTATTTTCACATATCCAATTCATTTGGCAGACACTTATTCAATCATAATTGAATATGATAAATGTCTAGGTACATTGGTTTTAACAAGAAATTACATAGACATTTGAGAAGCAATGTGCCACGAAGATGACAGAGCACCACTTAGGGGAAAGTAATGGAATGACGTAATTAATTTGCCAACGGTATTTATACAGTCAAAAGTCGTTAATTCGGACACCCATAATCCGGAATGATCTATAATCTGGACCTCAAAGCTACAAACTTTCTGCGCAAGACCTTTACGGCTGCGTATATGCGTGTGCGCATGCGCATAATACGTTTACGCATGCACGGTTAATGTATAACGGACGGTATAAGCTAAGCTAAAATTATCTAATTCAATTAATGTTGCAGATTGCGTTCCTTAATCTTCGAATTGGATCCAGCTTATTATTTTTTGCAGACTGTTAGAGCAATTTTATAAAAGTAAGCTTGAGCTTTCGATTATGTCAATTAGAATTTCCGATATATATTTACTAATATGTAAAGGATCTACAAAGCGAAAGTATGTTTCGAAGTCCATTAAACAAAAAGTGGAATTGCTGCAAAAAATGGATAAAGGCATATCCATCGTTTCTCTGACCATTCCGAAATCTGTTTATCAATTTCACGCTGCTCTGCAACCGGTGTAGGGGGGGGGAACGCCGCGGCATGCAATGAATTGGAAGTTGATCTGTCAGCACCATCCTTATCTTCAGGGCAGATGTTTTTATTTTATTTGGCTTATAATTCCTTACTAAATGTAGTATTTCATCTCGATGTATTCCGTCTTTGATATGATTTAAATCAAATTCCTCGTCATTATAATTCACTTCCGAAAGTGAAGAAAGTGACGCAGAGGTTATTGAAAACGAAAAAATTTCGATTGACAAATTAGTCGGTATTCTCTACACAGCAATTATAGGACTTGAACAGCGGAACTTTGTAACTGAACAAGAAATTATGTCTGTTTATAGAATTAAAGAGAAAGTATTATCACATAAAACGAAGCACTTTGTAACTGAACAAGAAATTATGTCTGTTTATAGAATTAAAGAGAAAGTATTATCACATAAAACGAAGCAACTTAAACAACTTACATTAAAAGAAATGTTTAATAAAGTAAACAAATAAATGTTAAGCTTTTTTTTTTTTTTTTTTTTTTTGTATATTTTGATACCCTTTAGATCATAATTGTTCTTTATTTCATAAATTACGGTTTCATATTTTTAATTTTATAATTTCTACATGCCATCTTACCAGATTTAAACTGATGATCTATAATCCAGAAAAATCAATAATCCGGAATCGCCGAAGTCCCGACGAGTCCGGATTAACGACTTTTGACTGTACTAAGTCTGATGTAATTATAGAGACAAGCTATGACTGGTTAATTTCAGGTCGTTATATAATCATGGAAGGATCTTGAATTTGGGAGAACAGATGAATTTAGGGGAAGAGCACCAAATCCGGAATCGTTAATTTTCAAGTTGCCAATTATTTTTAAAGCAGCTATCATATGTTCTTATATCTCACATATTCCCAATTTTAAAAGAAAAGGTCGGGGAAGCAGGGTGGCAGAAAAGCATTAGTGAATTAGTGTAGCAGGAGAAAGTTTATTATATGAGAAAAAACATGAGGAAGCATCAAGGACATAGCAGGCAGGTTTTCCTATGCCCCTTCATGATTCATGACCTCTCTCATATACATATTACGAAATACTTAACATATAATTTACAAGTAATGTAATTTCTAAAGAAACTAAATAATAAATTAATACAAATATAATTTTTAAAGTTCCCAAATTAGTAAAATGTCCAACATCTTTTGAATGTCCAATGAAAATTTTTTCTAAACTCTCT